TTTCAAACGAATTTATAGTAGCCGCAACTGCTGCAACAATGGCTTCAAAGTAAATATTCAATAAAACTCAAGCTAACAAATTCATCATCACTGAAAACAAATTAGACTTCATCAACATTATTAACAATTTACTCTTGTGTGAACAATAACTATACAATAACTATATCATCATCCTTAACTTCACAAAAAAATGATTAGTATAGGATCTAAATTCCTTACCGACGGAGACGGATGTCGGTAATGATGCTGGCTCTAAACCACCTATGAATGAATTCTACATGAAACAACCACCATTTATTCAAAGGCACTGATTAATCTGCTGCTGCCACTTTAAACACGATAAATCAGCGAGAGAAAACTTCAACTTCCAGCAGAGAAGTTGGTTGAAAGCGTATTTGATTCTGAATATTCTAAAATATGTTCTAGTGGTTGGTTTGGTCAAACAATTATTGCAATATACTAAAAAGTAAAATAACATTTCACTGTAAGACCCAATAAACATGCTTTCAAAATATAACTTGAAACACAAGCCGTACGATTTTCATCCAATAGGCGAGGTTTTCAACAACATCTCCTAACGACAGTAGGAAACCCATTTTCCCGCCAGACTCACAAGCTGAATAAACCAGCCAAATCTTATACTAAAAATACATAACATTTCAATATTCAAAAACATTTAATCATATCTTGAATTTCAAAACAAAAAGTTAAAAATTATAAACACAATGCAAGAAAATATATACCTGCAACTTCTTGAATAACATATGAGCCTCTATAGACAGTACCATAAGCACCATGAGCAATAATATATCACAAATTCAATATCACCATTTAAATCTCCCATTCTATTTTACGCCTTTTCGACTCATTAGTATTTCTCGACCAAACCCTAATTAAGTGCTTTTCCAATTGAGCATCCAAATTCTTGAGATTAATTCTATCAAATCCGAAAACCATATCTTTACTATGATTTCCAGTACCCTTCATCTTCGAAACCTCCACACTTCCTTCTCCTTCCATCTCCTTTCTTTGGTGTCCTACTATTTTCAAAATCCATCTTCTCCAATCACAGCTTCAAAATCAGATCTTTTTACAATAACAAAAAAAAAAGCAGTAGCAAAATCATTATACAAAAATATAACTGAAATATATACTTGTAGACATCATGAATAAATAACATTTTTGCATGAATGAATAGAAAAAATATAACTATTGATAGCATTATAAATAGCAGTTTTCCATAACAACAATTTTTTATCCATATATAAATTGAAAAATTATATTCATGAAATAGCAGTTTTGTAGTTACTAATGAAAAGAAGAATAAACTCAGCAGCATCACCACCTGTTTCAACACCGTCAATGGAAGAAAGTGAATAGTTCTCATTATCAAACTCCGCTTTCATCATTTTTGCAATACTGATAACCTTCCCAAGGGTGATAAGATGGACCGCCTTCTAAGAATAACCGCCTAGAGTTGAGTACCTGACATTAAAATTTAGAGAAATCAGATGATTGAAAACATAAAGCAGATAACACAGAGCTATAACACAAATATTAGCATATCTAGTGTTTCAAGTAATTTCTTAGTACTTCTTGAAAAGATCATTAAGTAGATAAAAAACTACACTACAAACAGTTCGACACAGTCGATTTGATGATTCTGAACAAACCTTATAATCATGTGAATAAAAAAATACACTGCAAATAGCCCGACACTACCTACACCATTATGCAGACCTCCAAACCACAAAAAATCTAATGACAGTGCTGGTTAAAATTCAACCCAATTATAAAACTAAAACATATTGACTTTATATTATGAATTACTTCAAAAATAAAAAATTTGTGTGGTAAAAGTACTTTATTTACTACCTTAAACTTATGTGGATGTAATGGTGCACAAACTATGGAATGATATAGTTTTAAGTGTAATGAGTTGTCGAATGTTTTATGAATATACAGATTGCTATGGTCTTTTAGAGAAGATCATTAGTGCAGTGTTAACAACAATTGTCCAAAATTCAGATGCAGACCTCAATATTTCATTCACCACTTTATCATCGTGATCACCATCGTCGTTATCAACACCGTCTTCACCGAAAAACAATTACATAAGAGATTCTAGCGTTCAACACAAACTATATCATAAAAATCCAAGTTAGTTTTGACAAGCAAAGCATACAGTTTGAAGATTTGGAAACATTACCTTATGAAGGGGCAGTTGAATCAACTGCATTAGTGCCTGCAGATTAAGACCAAAGTGGGATATGATCAACAATAGAAAGTTCTTTATTGTAATAATTTCTGAAGTCAATTATTATGACTTACCTTATGAAATAAAAGAAGAATGCACAACATCAATCTTGTACTTCCCATACCAATTTTACATTGAGCAACTACTACATTCTAGATATCCTTCTTCAACCATGAATATGCATTTTGACAAAATGATGTTATAAGTTGAATAGGAGGCAATTATGATAATTAAAAGGGAAACTTGCAACTGTGTTGATAAAAGGCAGAACATGATGCTGACAAAATATGCATTATGCTGATAAAAGGAAGAATCTGATGCTGACAATAAGTGCTTACCTCATCAAACATCGGATCACTGTTCTGATAAGACGAACTTGCCACAACAAATACCCACGACGACACTGATAAAATGAGGTTACCACATCAAAAGATAGAAGATGATGTTGATAATAAGTTCTTACTTCATCAAACATCGGAGCACTGTGCTGATAAGATGAACTTGCCACAACAAATACCTGACGACGATACTAATAAAAAGTGCTTACCACATCAAATTCCAAAACCAAATATTCTTGATGTAGCCACAACACAACATCATAACTTATGTCTTTTTAATTAGAATTTTCTTATATAAAAAAACGTAATCATGAATACATATAAACAAATCGAGCATGAAATAAAGATCAGAATATTACCAACTGACGACTGACAGAATTTTCAAAATTTTCAGTCTTTTCAAAGTTGTTCAATATGATTGGTAAGAGTAATAATAGCCCTCTGATATGATTTTTCTTGTTCATGTACAGACTGCAACTGAAATTGACCAAGAAAAAGTTGAAAAGTGATATCGAATATGGAGCTACTGTTCTCTACAGTCATTTAAAGTGAGATTTTGCATGGTTTATCAAATTTCTCAACCTCAAATGTTTCAAATGGAACCTACAATATGATATAGAAATCATTCTTTTAAATATTTGAGTTTGTTAGCTTAGAGAAACACTAAAACTAATTAATTTCTTCACTTTGTCACATAAAGCTATATACTTGGAAAGCAAATTGTGGATAAATAGTTTTTCTACCAAGTGAGATTAAAAGACTAAAATTGTTTCTTACTAGATTCTTCTTCACTATTTTCATCCAAAGGCAGTAGCTCCATAGTGTGGTGTGGTGTGTTCCATGTTGCAACTATCTGTAGATCATCAATGAACAAAAAAAAATTTAAAGAATTCTATTACATGTAAATCTAATAAACAAATAACATGACTCACACAGTTTTTAAACCACTCTAGTGTCTTTTCAAACATTTCTTCGCAATTTATTGACTGCCCTGGCATGATAGGATACAAATTGAAAACAACATAAAGAAAACAAAAACATAAAGAAAACAAAAACAAAAACAACAACATAAAGACAATAGAATTTCTATTTTTGCAATAAACATATTTCATAGGTCTATCAAACTCCTATAAACAGCACTAAACATCTACTATAACTTAAACTCAAAATTTAGTAGCAAAATACCATTGCAGTAAGATGAAATGTGGTGAACACCTTTGTAACAGTCAAAGGTTCGAGCTCTCAAATCATAGACGATAACTATCTGCTAGTTTTTGCAACCAAGCTCAAGTTACCTCCTTTCTATAAACAACCAAAATAAACCATTAACATATGAAATAAGATAGCAAACACACTCATCTAAAAATTTGAACAACAAAAGACATTGTATTAGTTCTCAGAAAACAGATCTACACAAAACACACAAAAACCATCAATTAACAATAAATGTGAAGAAAAAAAATGGACGGTGATGACGGTGCTAGGGTTTGACGAAAAAGATAGAAGAAGATAGCAAACTTGGAGAGAAAAGTATAGAAAGATTAAAGGATAGAGAGAGAGGGAAGAAAGTTACATTGACCATTTGGTTCCTTGACAAGGAATACACTAGCCCGTTAACGAGTTGACATCCTACGTGTGTTACATTAACAATTTCGCAACTTTTAATTTAATTTTATTGAAAAAAATTCAAAATACTGAATGCTCAAATATTTAGATGCGTCACAAATATATTTCCTAAAATTCAATCAATGAATTAGTCGCAAAAGGTTAGCCAGAAGCACTTTTTCCACCGAAAAGTGATAGTCGCTAAATCGGTCCTAAAACATAATAATGATCAATTTCTAAACTTTTTCGATCTCAAATTTGATTACTAACAACAATTTTTCAGTGACGGATCATGTTGTCTCAAATCAAGCATAGTGAGGATCTCAAGGTAATCAAATAACATTCGCTTCCTTAATTAATTTCGACTCGGTCCTATGTGTCTATTTCTATAGGATAACTTTCAAATTTGTAACTACAATTGTTATAAATTTGTCAAAATAGTTATGATCGTTTAAGAATTAATTCACTTTTAATCATTAAATGTTCAAATTGAGTCAGCTATATGTTATAATTTTTTCAAAATGGTTATGATTAATTATTTAATTTGGATAGTGTTATATTTAGAGAGTGGTACATAGGTTAATAGATTGTTATCCATAAGTGATGAAAAACGATTGTTATTAATAGATTGTTAAAGCAACCAAACAATTAAAAAAAGGAAAGATACAAATTTATACAATAGTTACTTTGCATGTTGACGGTAATGAAGCATTGGCATTCAAGTATAAATAATGTGCCATCTTACTTTATCTTGAAATCAAACATTGATTAACGAGATAGTAACAATAATCAAACAAGACATGAAGAAGTTCAGTATTGGCATTATTGTTTCATTCCTATTTTTAGCTTGCTTTGGTGAAGGAGGGAACCTTGACATAGCGCAATATGGTGGTAAATCAAATTCAGATATTACCGAGGTGTTAATTTTTATTGAATTCACACTGAGAAAGCAGTTATTATTTAATTTATTTTCTAATTGATTGTTCCTTTCATAAGGCTTTCAAAAAAGTTTGGGCTGAAGCATGTAACTCAACAAGTGCGGTTAAAATTGTGATTCCATCTGGTAACTATAGGACTAGTGGAATAGATGCTGAAGGTCCATGCAAGGCTCCAATTGAAGTTCAAGTTGATGGCACAATTCAAGCACCTTCAGACATAAATCAAATTCAAAAAGGGATTGATCAATGGATCAGATTTAGTACTATGGATCATTTAACCATATCAGGAGGAGGAATTTTTGATGGTCAAGGTGCAAATATTTGGAAAAAAGCTATAGAAGCTCGGAGCGAAGATAGAGCTGATAAGAAAGATTCCATGGTAAATATTCATTGAGTTTATTGGTTTAATTTTAACAAAATTGTTTAAGAAATATTTTATAATTGAGTTTATTGGTTGAATTTCAACATAATTGTTTAATAAATATTTTATAATTGAGTTTATTTGTTGAATTTCAACAGAATTTGGGTTTTTATTTTGTTAACAACTCCGTCATCACTGGAATTACATCTAAGGACAGCAAAAGTTTCCATTTTATGATTTACGGCTGCGAAAATATCACACTTGATGGCATCAAAGTTAGTGCTCCTGGTGACAATATAAACACCGATGGAATCCACTTGGAAAAATCAACTGATGTTAAAATTCTTAATACCGACATTGCTACCGGAGATGATTGTGTGTCAATTGGTGATGGTAGCAGAAAAGTACTTGTACAAAATGTGAAATGTGGACCTGGTCACGGTATTAGTGTTGGAAGCCTTGGAAGGTTTGGAAACCTTGGAAGGCTTACGAATGAAGATAACGTAGAAGGTTTTATAGTAAAGAATTGTACTATATCAGGTACTGAAAATGGTGTGAGGTTTCTGACTTGGCCACATGGACCAGGACATATTACTATTACTGATATGCATTTTGAAGATATTACCATGGTTGATGTCAGGAATCCTATCATCATTGACCAAGAGTACTATTGTCCGTGGAACATGTGCAACATAAAGGTAATCAATCATCTTTATTTCTTAATCTTAACACATGTTTGTTTCAAAAATCACTAATATTTTGTTCATTTCTTGTATGGTTTAGAATCCATCAAAAATAAAGATAAGCAAGGTTTCGTTCAAAAACATTCGCGGAACTACAAAAGCAGAAGAGGGAGTGGTTCTTTTATGCAGCAGTGGTGCACCGTGCGATGGTGTGGAGTTGAGTAATATTGATCTCAAATTTAAAGGACAACCCGCAAGAGCTTTATGTTCTAATGTCAATCCTATAGTTAAAGGAAATGCTCCTACTTGTGAAGCTTATGGCTCACCTGCATCCCAATCAATCTGATGGACCACCTCCATCCTAATCCAAATCCAATGGACCACCTCCCTCTGAATCCAAATCCAAATCTGAATTTGAATCTGAATCAAATCCAAATCTGAATCAAAAGATGAAGACGAATCTGAATCTCATTGATCAATTTTTTGTAATTTTATATATATATTTTATTTTAAATTTCAAGAGTATTAGACAAACCATCCCTATAATGCAGAGGATGTTGATCAGTAGTAGTTTAGTCATTTGTAAAGAAATAAATCTGACATATGTATTAGAACTATTGTCATGTATATGTCTCCCTTCTTTTGTTAAAACTAAATTATTATTTTTTATGAAAAAACTTTATATTAGTTGTAGTCAAATTTCATTCCAACCAAGCATGTCGGCCAAGATTTTAAAAAATTTACTACTATAAAAATTAACAAAAGTTATAGAGAATGTAAAGAGCGTAAAGTGTGCTCAAGAGAAACAAGACTAAAAAAGTCCTAAGATGACAAATACCACGTTAATCAAAACAACAAATTTGCTAAAAAAAGAAGCAAACAAACCAAATGTTCGAACAATCCTTCAGCGACGAACACACTAGAAATCTGGAGAGAGCAAGCTGGAAGAAGGAAGACATGCTCATTTTCACAAAACAAAAAGCAAAGGAGGGTATTTATCCACACATCACGCCGTTAAATTCCTTGTCACTTTGGCGGGTCACATTCACATTAAACCAAAGAAACAACAAAACCTAAGGTATGTGTATTAACCCACTTCCAAGTCAAGATAATAATAGAGGACATCCAATGAGTGGTCATTATGCTTTTTCGACAAAAAATAAATTTGTTATGCATTTTTCAAATAGTCCAGACCATAAAATGCCAGATCGAGATCAAGCCTAAAGAAGCATTTTTTCATGACCCAAACCCTTAAAAAAACTCAAACACCCCCAAAACTGACAGTGGTAAAGGCCCTTGTCACCCTTCCAACTTAAAGACTCTATGCCAAATGGATGAGGTAACCTCACACAAAACAAAGAGATAATCAACCAACTTCACCTACTCTGCACACATGATGCACCCCACATTACTAGAGCCAAACACTATTTTACGGTTTAGAAAATTTTTCCTAGTTGACAACCTATTTTGGATAAAATCCCAAGGGAAATAAACTACTTTTGTAGGAACCAAATTATTTCAAACCCTAGAAAGCCCCCACAAGACCCTCCTTAACCTAAATTAAGGGACCCTTGCTAAACTCAAAAGGTTATCATAAGTTGACATAAAATAAAAACAAGTAGTTAGGTCTGGCTTCCTCTCGCCAACATCTCATAGATCACACCTAACTATACCCGAGATAAGATTGATAAAAATGTCAAAGAGATCTTCCTCTGAATAATTAGAGTCTGCCTTAACCTAAAAATCCAAAACCTAGGTGTCATACCCCAAATTTTACCCCTTAGATGTCATCACCTTTTGCATAACATTCTAAGTCAATCATATTGCATAGTTAACCATTTTGTCAAACTTTGTTTTGTTTCTTGTGAATTAAGGTTTGTTTCAAAAGGTTCAATGGAGTGATTAATCAAGGTCTTGGACGGATCACCAACCAAGCAAGTTCTCATACTCTCGAGAGATGTCTTCCATCAATAATCAAGTACAACACGACCTCATCACAATTTCTTCAAATTTATATGACTATGAAATTAGATTCATCTCCAGGGATATGTTGTGTATCTCTTCAAAGCAAGGGATAGTCCAAAGAAGATCAGGGTTTGAAATATTGCAAAACTTGGACATCAAGAATTTAAAGTTGTCTAGGTTTTCTCTTGATTATTTGAAGGAATACAAGTTTCAAGGAGTCTTTCGTTTCACCTATACATGGTTCAGGGTCTGTATTGGTCAAGATACAAATTTCACTCACCATCCCAGGTTGAAAGTCTGTGTCAAGTTTGAAAGCTTCAGTTTATTGTTTCCATTCAGTTCCATTCCAGAATTCGTTCATGGAAATTCAGGTTACATGTCAAATTTGTTTTCCATTTCAAGCCATTGGGCTTAAGTTTAAAAGGTGAAATCCTACTTGCAAATTCTTAGTATTTCAAATTTGAATCTAAAGACAAGAATTGTGTGTTTTAAATCCCTAAGATACATTGCTAAAAGGTCCATTTAAGAGTAATTCCTATGTTGGTGAATTCCAAATGTCAAAATCCTTCCAAGTTGCCAAATTCAGGGTTCACACCAATTTCAAATATTGAATTCCATATCAAATTCCTGTTCATTTAAATTCCAAACTAGGGTTCAAATTTATGTAGTGTGAGCTATTTTGAAATTCAAATTCCTAATTGTGAACTTATAGAGATAAAGCTCATTGTCGCTACTACGAAAAATGAGGCCGGCAAAACAGAAGAGTCGCCACCTTTCGTTATTTATCCCTCAGAACGGGAAAGGAAACGATCGGAAAAAACCTGACGAAAAGGTATAAGACAAGGTCATCGCAACCAATGTCTGGATTCGGGAGTCGGTTACGCAAGGGGAAGGTATTAGCACCCCTCACATCCATCGTACTCGATAGGATCCATGCTTGTTGTGTTTATCTGACGGGTTGATTTAAATATCTACGCTAAAGGTCTGGTCTGAAAAGAAAAGAAAATGACTCGGCAAAGCGTCGCACTTTATACCTACGTATTCCCGTCTGGAACGAGAAATCAGAGTCAACGTAATTCGCCTAACTACGGGGGAAGGTTGCTCGCCGAGATATCACATCTCGTGCCTACGTACTTTCACACAGCGTGAAAGATCAGAGCAAACATAGTTCGGGACAACGGGAGACACATGTTTGTCTTTTTTATACGAGTAAGGTTAACAGACGGTTCCAGCAATTTGATGTATGCAACTCGACCATTGGAGACTTAGGCGTTTACCGTTTGCGGTAGAATCGGGAATTAACAGAACTCTCCTTCTGAAAAATGGTTTCCAGGGATTAAAGGTCCAAGAGGACAAAAAGAGTTTGATCTTTGTTTTTTGTTTTTTAGAAGAAGTATCTTTTTATGGATGTTTGCAACTGATATCGCACTAGAGACTATGACCTGAGAGTGAATGCGTCCCATGTCACCCAAAGGGTGCCATACTAAACATCCAGACTGTTGGAAAGAAACTCTCCAACAACCCTTTCTCAAGTAGCTTAAGGCTCGTAGCATACGACATCAATTAACCTTTATTTCTGTATTTTGATTTGTTTGCAGATGAGAAGAGAAAGGGCGCACTAAAGGGGAACTGATCCAATCCTAAAGTTGTCATGCAAAACTGATCCTATGGTTGAGGTTAGGAGGGAACTACCTAATGTTATCATGCATGGTTAGAACCCTAATGTCTGTCATAACTTCTATTGAACAAGAGAAGTCAGAGTTCCTAGGGGAACATGGCATAGGAAAACAGACAGAAACAGAAATAAACTGTAAAGAAAACTGTAAATAAAATGCATGCAATGCAACAAAAAAGCAGAAGAAGCCAAGCTCAACTTATAGAGCAAGTAAGCCCAAAGGCAACACACAAAGCACAGGCAAGAGAGACAGACTCAACCTTAAGCCAGCAAGCAAAGCCAAGCAATAACAATCAAGCAGAGGGATCCAGACTCAACCTCTAATGCAGACAAACAAAGTGAGCTAATCTCAACCTTTAGGGATGCTCTTAGGCCTAGATGTAACATCCCCTTTCTATACCCCCAAATAATACAAATAATCATTTAGGCATAAATTCAAAATTTCATCAGAGTACATTTACATCACGACATAAAAGGGGCATATCACATTAAACCAAAAATTCGACATATACAACACCTGCTCAACAAATATGCAACAACGGGGCAACACCCATAAGGAAAATATTTAGAACATAGGCGGAAACATCTAAATATTTCATAACCTCCAAAACATGTATTCACATACACATACATCATTCAAGTTGATTTACAATATCATCAATATATACAATATTCATCCAGCATGTTTCATCAACATTCATCTGCAGATACAAACACAGATGTATCACAAAAGAATCAAAATAATCTCTAGCTACCCGGTGCTACATATCAGAAAGAAGCCACGCTTCACAAGACTCCAGCAGTCTAATCTGCAATACCTCATAGAGCATTATAAAACAGCAGAAGGGTGAGAAACAATATCATAATACATAATGCATATATATATATATATATATATATATATATATATATATATATATATATATATATATATATATATATATATATATATATATATATATATATATATATATATATATATATATATATATATATATATATATATATATATATATATATATATATATATATATATATATATATATATATATATATATATATATATATATATATATATATATATATATATATATATATATATATATATATATATATATATATATATATATATATATATATATATATATATATATATATATATATATATATATATATATATACACATAACGTCCAATAACGTCTTCCCACAACTCATCTCACTACTCCGTACATCGCAATGTATCCACACATGTATCTATATAAATAGAACACCAAGCATACACAATATGCTTCATCAATGTTTATATCAATTCATAAACATACACACATATACATATATATTGACACATACACGTATCTTCAAGCCTTCCATTCATGCCAATTATCAACAATCTACATAAACATCTACATTCATGTTTATTTACCATACATCATGCACAGATGTCAACATGCAACTCATAGAGACTGACACATGACTCTATGCAGATGCAAATACGGTACTGACTCATTTCAGCAGGTTCAATTGAAGAACTAAAAATAACCATCGCTCACACCCCACATGAGCACACGAGGTTCTGCAGATTCTACACGGAATCAAATATAACCATCGCAACATACGAGGTTCTGCAAATCCACCGAGGGATCAATAAATAACCATCGCTCAAACCCACACAAGGGCACGCGAGGTTCTGCTGATTCACCGAGGA